TTATTTGTCATTAAACAGTACAAATACAACTTCAAACAAAGAAGAAAGAAAGATAAAGATTAAAAAGGAGACAAATTAAACAAAAATAAAATAAATAAAATCAGACAATCGAGTTTGTTCAGTGTTCATGAGTATAGCGTTTGGGGTTTTCCATGAAATTAAGGTCCTCTACCATCATGCAGAGATCCACAGCAGTCTTTTTTCTCATGTGTTTCAGTGATGAAAAGAAAAGGCACAGTTCTCTGTGAAAGGCAACAAAATTTGGTCTAGCTTTAAGAAATCAAATCTTTGGAATAAAAAGCTTTCCTACAATGATAATAGTGTTAATCATCAGATCATGTACAGAGTTTTTTGCAGTAAAACCATACAAGATTTTTTCAATTTTCAATTCTGGAATCTGTATATATTTAGACAACCAGTGATGTAAATCATCCCAAAAGGCATTCGTATATATACAATCATAAAAAAAGTGGTCAGTGGTCTCAGCGAGTTCATTACAAAATGAACAGTCAGTGCATTCAAAGCCAAAGCGCGAATCAGCAGAGGGGTATATTCTGTTAATAATTTTGAAATTAATCTCTTTTGCTTTAGGTGCGACCGGGAATTTATAAAATTTTGATCTTAATTGTTCAGCATCTTTTCTGGAAAAGGAATTTAGAATTGTGTTTCGGGAAAAGGAGCAGGGATACAGCTCGTTGTTAAATGTGAAACGAATAGCACAGTTGTTTAGTTTGGAGTCCAAAAGATTTAGATTATTCACTAAAAGCGGGGGAAGATTTGTGTTTGGAACATTTGTATATAAATTAGATGTCATGATTATTATAGCTTGAGGTATTGCATTAATCACTTTCTTATATTGTTTTTTATCAGTCAAGTTAAGTTTGGAACTAAAATTCTCAAATGTTATAATCTTCCCTGTCGAATCAAACAAGTGTAAAACAGACCATATGCCTTTATCTAACCAGTTTTGTAGAAATATAGATTTGTGGTTATGTAATATATATATCTGCAGTTCCAAAGTGGGGTGTTGTGGGGACTGAAGTTGTGTTTGTAAATCATTTTCCAGTTTAGTAAAACCTGTTGATGAAATGATGAGAGTTTATGGGGAGCTTTTTTGAGTCATAGTCACATTTGAGGAGAAATTCAGTGCCACCTAATTTCTTGAAGATTTCATTAGGAATATAAAACCAGAGTTTTTGTTGCTTTTTAAAATAGTGTCTCAACCAATTTATTTTAATTGTGCCATCAATACATTCAAAATCTATTGCCTTAAGACCTCCATCTTTGTATTCTTGTGTTAGAGCCTTTTTTTAATATAATGTGTTTTCTTTTTCCAAATGTTTTTTTATTATTAAACATATAAAAAACAACATAAAAAAAAGGTACCATAATATATACATTGTGTTCACACTACGTCTTCTGACCAAATAAGAAGAATACAAAATAAAATAAATAAAACCGTACAAACTAATAACTAGTCAAACCTTTTCTGGGAGGGGTCCACAGATTTGGAATTTGAAAGAGTTGAAATTCATCTCCACCTTCAAAAAACAGCTAAATTGCTCCATTTATATACTTGAGCTCACTTGTAGGACCTGTAACTGATTGATCAGAGCTAACATAATCTGTATTGTATGTAATTTGTATTAGGACTGATGTTTTATTGTGATTTTATTTTAATATGTTATAATTTGTATGCAATATGTACCCAGGCTCCGTCTATAAGCTGTAAATAGCTTTTTGGAGACCTGATTCACGCACTGTTATCTTGCAGATATCTATTATGATTCTTTTGTGTGTGAATAAACTGAAACTAAACTGAAACAAACAAAAACCCCAAATTAATAATAAAACAAAAACAAACAAACAAAAAAACCTAAAGGGGCATATTGTATTTACAACATAAAAGTCCAGGGCATACGTTACACATTTAATGTTTTCAAAAAAGACGTCAACTTGGAAGCATTTTTTGACTTCACCAAACACAAAGACTTATAAAACAAATGTAACTCATTCTTCCACTGTATAAAGTTAGGGATGGTTTTAATGAAGTGACATTTGTGTATGTAATGTTTGGCTAACAGCAGAACATTATTTATACCGTAGTCAATGTTATGATCATTAATAAAAACACCAAATGTAATCTCTTGGATGGTTAAATCTGTTAAATGTACCCCATGAACCCAGATAAACTGGTGAAGATCTTTTTTCTCACAGAAAACACATTTATCTACATCCATTTTAAACGTGCGTCTCAAAAAGTCATTGGTTGGATAAATTTTGCTTATAATTTTGAATTGCATTTCTTTGATTTTGGATGAGAAAGGAAAAGATAAATATTTGGATGTAATCTTTTTAATTTGTTCCTTATTGAAATCTCTGAGGATATTCTGCCTTTAAAGTGCACCAGTAGCACAGTACTGGGATAAACAGCTTCTCATAAACTTATTACATTTGATATCACAAAAATCTACATCTTCAATATAAAGTGTCCGTAAAAGAGGGGAAACCTTGGAATATATTAAATCCTGCCTAACCATGGAATGAAGCTGGCGTGGAAAGGCTTTGATTATTTGTTTATATTTTGCCTGAGTACAACATAATTGAAATTTATCACAAAACTCAGAATGTTGTAACATATTTCCATTGGCGTCCATAAAGTGAGCAACAGCCCACACACCTTTACGAAACCACTCCTCAATAAAAATGGATTTTCTATTAATCAGTTTATATCTGTTGTTCCAAATTGGTGTGTTGTGTAGTGAACCAGATGACCTCAAATCTACCAGATGGACAGAGACCGTTATTTTCATTGATCTGAATAAGTCTGGGCCATCTGATGACTTTCTTTCTTGAATTAA